ACAGCTGTCTTTGATAAATTTATTAGTTGATGAATTTATTGCGAAATAGGAAAAGCATTAGTTCTTGAGGCATATCCACCCAGTTATCCCTCATCCCAAGTAAGTTCCCGGATATGGCAATGCAGCTACAGGAAACCTCCTAAGTACTAAGAATTGTTTAATTTTCGTCATTTTGGAGGCAACAAAATTAGAATTCGAAATATCATGAATTCAAGGATGGTCAAAGATCACCAGCAGCATTATTGTAATTATTTCAAAAAATCTGAAAATCAAAAATATCACAATTTCTATCGTTGCTTTTGAAAAACAACACCGATGCTTTCCGCGGCGCAGTGAGCGTTTATGAAATTAGTGCAATTAGCACTATGATTATTTGAAGGAAGCTACTTTTTTGATTTTTGTTAGCAACATCTGTTGTGGTGGAGAGAGACACCGGTTAGTGCGATCATTTCCGTATAACTACTTTTAATTTTGACCACCTTCGCAAGTTTGCTGGAGAAACGATTTTGGTAGCTGGGAATTTTAAGACCTTTAAAAAAAATGGATCTTAGAAATCATTAAAAAAATGAGTCATAAAAAATGAATCATAAAAAATAACAATAACAATGAGTTAATGAAAATCTTTTACGATACGCCGGGAATTTAAATTGCTTTTCTTCAATTTTCTTCAAGTAATTCATGAAAGACGATTCACCGGCTGGCAGGTATGATGGGGTAACAAGGAGCAGTATCCACAAGCTCAAAATCCAGGTTTTCACTGTGCCAGTTTGGCAACCAGTCCCTTTACAATTTGTTCATTCGTTTTGGCAGCAGTTGGCATCTGCTTGCAATGGGAAGACAAAGCTCCCCGTTGGTTTGTTTCAGGGCAATTTCCAGAGAAAGTAGCCAGCAGCAGCCTTGCCTGCAGGTAACTGCTGTTCGACGATCCGTCGTTAGCATTTTTAGGAAGTAGTTTTCTGGATGAGTTCGGGCAGTAAAAAAGTGCCGTTATTATTTTTCTTTGTAGAAAAAATGTGAGGGTTTCTGAGTTTCAAACAAAGCATTAAATGAGAATAAATTTGAATTTAACTTGCATCTCGAGTACCTTCACTTTAATGAGGGAATAATCAATCTGTTTACTTCAGTCAGACAAAACATGATTCACTTTCTTTTTTGCGGCAGATGAACTTCAAGAGGATTTGCCCAAAGTTTATGCAGCAAAATCAAAATTAACATGCTATTATTATTAAAAGTACTATGTCCTATTACTATTTTTGTTATTATTATTGTCACTGTCACTATTGCCATCATTATTGTTATTATTATTAGTCTTACTGACATAGTTATTATTATCACCATTGCTATTCATGAATCATGATACAGCATCATTACCACATGCCTAATCTGTAATTTCTAGGGGCATAAAATATGCGTCCTTGTGGTGGTACGTCTATCGCACCTAAAACCGCCGATCAATGAAACAGCTGGAAGGAAAGAGAAAACATGGCAAAAGCAATTAGGAATGTGCTTCTTTTTCCAA